ATAAGGGAAATTTTAATAGGTTTGTTTGGCTAAATACCTATGACTATGATAAAGACACGATAAATTTTACTCCTCTTTAGCAAGTGGAAACTTTGATTTTTTCAAAATAAATGCACATTATAGCACTAATAAGAACAAAAAAGACAGGAAATTTCCTTTATACAGACTAGTTTAGTCTTTTAATAATGCGAATAGATTTCTAGGGTTCTGTTGATAAGACATGCTATTTTGATAATCTTAGTTTATTTAAAAGGCCTATGATCAGTGCTATGAGCATTGATCAATCTAAAGGTGATATTTATCTTTTGATCCATTTATCCGATCAATAAGGTAATCTTTATGCAATTAAGAATGATTTAAGCTATATCAACTAAATTTATAGAGTTAACAAGTAATACACTTTCTTCTGCTCTGTCTACTATTATCTATAGCAGAATAAAGCATTTGTAATGGGAGTTTGGATGCCACCTACTACTGATAATTTTGGAATATTTATAGCCATTTTGTATAATGATCTTGGGTCAACTTATACCTAATTTGCTTTCCAAGCAAATGAGCTTAAATAGTACTGAGTAATTATCCCTTTGATGGAGTAAAATCTTGGATTGCTAGCAGGATGTTTAGAAGGTACAAGCACCAATTATGTTATATTTGGCTTGTTTTTATATAAAATGGACGATAATTAATCAAGAATATTATATAGAGATGCTAGTCTATCCTACTCTCAAAGAGGGTTTTCTTGCATTGGAGTCAGAATAAATAACTAAAATGATATTACCATGTTTTACAGAGCATAGATAGATGATTAGGGCTTTCTAATATATGCGATTCTCAATGATGATCTATTTTAGAGAAATGTGCTAATTCTTATAATTAAAGAGAGGCAATTATATATACCACCTTCCAACCTTATTATTGTAAATATGATGAAGTAGATTTTGTAATCTTCTTAGAATATAACATGCCATCTTGGATTTAAGATGGACACATCTGGTAGATAGAGGGCATACCTCGATTTGTAATATCATAATAACTATAGTAATTTGCTTACTGATCTAGACCCAACTATGAATAATAGCTTTACTATAATTAATTTAACAGAAATTAGTCTTTCAACTGGTATGTTCGACAATATAGGAAGCAGGTTGAATAAATTTCCTCAGATAAAAGCATACAATAATTTACTTCCATATGTAAGTCTCTGGCAGGACCAAAACTAGACGACTAAAAATAATAAATTTGTGTCCTAATTATCAGTAAAATTTGATAGATACCCTGCTTTACTTCCCTCAGCTATTGATTGCTACATTGGCATTCAATGTCATATCTATTAAGCTAACTTCTCATTATTTGGTAATTGTGCTGATGCTGATCAAAATAGAAAATATATAACGAATATATCACTTAACAATTAGACTAGAGACATCCTTCCTGGAGTTAATTTATACAAAGTGGGCTAGCTCAGCGATATGCAAGTAAATATATCTTTCAAGCAAAACTCTATATATTTCACTGGAATCTACAATATCTCAGTTAGCTATTTCATATCAGATAACAATAATTAGTGGCCGCTTATCACAGATCTTTTCACCTTAAATATCTCTAATGGCTGTGTTGAAAATTACAAAGTTATTGAACCTTTAAAATTGCCCAATGCTAGGCGCTTGATATAAACTGATCCTGTATATTTTTAAATTCAGAAAGCTAAGCTATCTCCCTATCAAGAATGCTATGTATAGAGATTACTTCCAATATTTAGTGATGTATAATATCTACAAGGTGCCATAATACAAGATTAATTAGATTAGTTAATGATTGGAGTAACAACAAGATATCCTGACTTTCTTGGAAAACATCAATTACCCATAGAGGTTTAAGTTTGGACTGATTAAAATGGTATTCTCTTGGAAAAATATCGCATAATATTTGAGTTTGAAGTTTATTAAGACTTTAAGCCATCCTTAAATAATACAGCACCCTACTTTGTATTCCCAATAAATGATATAGAGATTAAAGTTGGTGAGACGAGAGTTGTTGATTTACCAAAAATAATTGATGATGAAGGAGATAGTTATGAAGTAAAAGTAGAAACTAAAATGGGCAGTCTCTTTATAGTTTACTCAAATACTAATATAATTGTTAAGCCTTCTGAAGCTGTCATTGGAATTCATTAAGTAGTAGTTATTATAGAAGATAATAATGTAAATTAGAGGTATAGTAAATCGAAATTCCAAATTACTATTAAAGCTGATGTTTCTTCGTTTTATGAATCACTACTCAAAGGTTCAATTTTATATGATGATTATTAAAAAGCAAAGAAATTTCGAATCATAGGTAACATAGAGGCAAGGGCTAAAATATCTAGAACAGGAAGGATAACAGTTACTTTTGATTAAAATCTTAAAATGTTAGATAATTTCTTGCAAAAGCTTTAAAACTCTATTGAAATAATAGTTTAATAAAATGACCATGATATACACTAAAATTTCACAGTTGACTCAATTACAACAAGATAACTTATTCTCTAGGTTTATTTTGCTAAGCCTTTAGAAATTTCTTAGAGTTCTGTAATTCATATAATATTGAGATATTTTAGGAATGGGATAGGATGGTTGTCAACTTTAAAATGTATTTCTTATTCTATGATGCCACAGAAAAACTAATGATGAAAGAAGGCTACTAAATTAAATTCTAAATACCACCTCAAATGTCTCAAAGTTTAGAGAATTAAATTAGTAATTTAGGAACTGCAACTGCAATTTCTTTATCGAGTGTGGTTGGATCAAACATCATCATAAATATCTTAATGTAATTTATTAGTTTCTTAAATATAATAGGTCTCAAAGTATATAGATGCTTTGGGGGATGATAAATAGCTTTTAACTAATAACTCACCTGCCATTGATGAGTGTTAATACTCCTGCTAATGTTGCTCTATTCTATAGCTTTATTTTAGACATTGCTAGTTTTTAATTCTTTGACGTAGAAAAAATAAACTAATTTATCTTTGATAATGGATATAATTAGGAAAATGATACAGCATTTAATCCATACTTTGAAAGGATGGGATATGCATCTACAAATCTGATTAGAAATATAGGACTTATATTTTACTTCTACTGGCTGCTAATGATCTTGATGCTTCTTGCAAGCCTATCTCAATTGGCGATAATAGCAATAAAAAAGTAAGATATTAGTTGAATTAATACTTTTGAAAGCTGAAAACTTAAAATGAGAATTTAAAAGTTTCATTAATCTGTCTTTTACAATTCAATCACAAGATTTATGTTAGAATCATTAATAGAACTTGTAATATGTTCAAGTATTAATAACTTTCAAGTAATCATTAAGATATTCCTAATACTTATAGTAAACTGAAAATTTTGATGATATAATTGCATATATTTTGTCTATGAAATTTCTTGGATTGTGCCTGATTTTACCTATTCTATCTTTCCTATTAACTCATGTGATTTACAAATCCCAACGGAATGTGCTAGAATCTAATTTTAGTCCATTCATAGAAAGCATACGAGAGGATAGGTATATCTTTACCACTATATACATAGCTAGAAGATTAATGTATTCTCTAGTGTTTGTATTATTTTATGACAACTAAGGAATACAATTGATATTTCTGATTACTTAAAACATGCTGATGATAAATTATATTACCTATTATACGCCTTTTTAAGACAGATAGACTTATAATTTAGAAATTTTAAATGAAATAATATTCTAGGTTATTTTGTATGGAATGATAATTTTCTCAGACAATTATAATATAGAGAGCGAGATTAAAATGATTATAGGATATTTCCCTATTGTACTTTCAATTATTTTTCTAGCAGTAAACATTTATATCATTGCGATATCCAAACTTTTAAGGAAAATTAGAGAATTTATTAATAAAGACTTAAAAGAGAACTACTCTAAAGTATAGATTCTTAAGATATCAAAAAAAAATTCATAGAAGAACTAGAAAAGATAACCTCATTCTATAAATTTGGATCTCTTCGAAAAGAATTCGATAAAAGTGTCCCAGTTTCAATCAAATAAAATTAATAATAATTACATCATTCAAAAACTAGAAAAATCTTCTCAGATGACAGCTACAAAAGTGAAATAATCTAATATTTCTTTTATGGATGATTTTTACGATGAGTACATGTCGTTTCATGACAAATTTATCAGTACTTAAAATGAGAATAGAAATCTGTAATGATAACTTATTAATTTATAAGAACTTTGCCTTCCTAATTGATATTGACTATAAGATATAATCACACTTTTCAAATTTTATTTCTATTGATAAAAAGTAAGTTACAAAACTGAAACAAGCTCCTGAACTATTATTTTAAGCTTTTGAAATTATAATTGAATAAATAGAAATTATTGAGATTTTGTGATAAATTATTCTTTTATTAATCTTCTGTTTTAGTCACTGAGGGGTTTTGGGGTTTTGGGG